CCTTTTCTTCTCTTTGTTGATTTTGTTGCAAAAACAGCATGGTTTTTTTTTTATTTGTGCCGAAATCAACTTGCCCCTTTTTTCCTTTTTTTTTTTTTTTTGGCTTGGAATTTGCTTCTTTTCGTAGTGTGATTATATAGCATTTTGGTTTTCTTTGCTATTGTAGCGTGCTTTGAAGGACTGTCTTGTATCTACCCTCTTTGCTGTGCTGCTCAAGTTTTGTGCCTGATTTCTTTTCATCGTTGTGACTTTGTCATCGTCATCCTTCAACGCTCACCAGGTTTATCTCTCATGTCTTTTGCTTTAGTGAAGCAATTTTTTTTCCTCTTGCCACCCCACTGTTATGCTTATGTTGCCTTGTTTGTTTTGCTGTAGCCATGGTATTTTTTAAGTGCTTTAAGAGCAATACCAACACCATTCTTACAAAGGAAGGCGATTCGCAAGATAGAGGAACGATGTTGATGCATTGTGCATCGTTGACCTAAGGCATTTGTTCTTCCTGCAAAAGACAACATGATGCATATCAAGTCATGGTCTTTTGAAGTATCTTGGGAGGTGACAGATTTTGGTCGACCACATACGAAGAAGAAGGCGTGTACATCGAGGATTCTTATCTTGAATCCTTCGCACCATGTTCGTGACAATCCACCAACTTCATTTGAGCATCTTGGCGATCGCATCCATAGCAAAGCTATAACTTGGAATAGCACCTTGTCGACAACTGGAGAAGCTGTCTTTGCTAAGTTTTACGAAAGATGTGCTTACTAACGTGGGTCTTTGTCACATCGTATACGCATCTTTGTTTAGTTATGATCGTCATCCTTCTACCCTTCGTGCATTATTTGAGCATTGGTGTTCAGCGACCAACACACTTCACGCGTCATAAGGGGAGATGTCGATTTTACTTTGGGATCTCCACAAGATAGGAGGCTTGCCGATCCAGGGTAAGGTTTATGACAAGGTTATTCTTAGTGTGGAGGAATTTTCTCATTGCAATAGCCAAGTATTGGCTGCGAGTTGCCGCTATTTGTTTTAGGCGTATCACAAGCTTTCCCATGAAGCTTAGGCTAAGTCAGGCATGAAGATTTCTTCATAGATCTGATTTTGCTATTAGGATGCCATGAAGTACAAAAAGCCTTCAAAGAAAAGTGGCGGCAACAAGACCACTAAGCCAAATGAGACTCAGACCTATCAGGTGCCATTGGTTCAGCTAGGCGCCTTGCCCCTGCCAAATTGAAAGCATTTGATGATCTTGGCGTAGCATCAAAGCACGTGGAAAAATCTTACCTAGCTGATTTCTTAGCTTGTTGGCTTTGTAAGTTTGTTTTCCCCAAAGACGACGTCAACTTTATCCGCTTCAGAGCCTTTAAAGTGGTTAACAAGATGGCTGCAGGTGAACCTTTCAGCCTTACTATTCCGGTCTTAGCCAATATTTATGATGGCTTGAGTGTTATTTCAAACTCGGCGAGATGGACCTGCGGCCTTAGCTCTTCAACGCCTGCGTTTATCTTCTCATCATTCAGATGTTTCTGAAGAGGCGGGTGAAAAAGTTAACTCGCACAAAGATGAGCTTGTTTTACTGGAGCGTCAACAAGTTTTGAAGAAGGAACCACTTAAAGGTGCTCAGGATGACAGTGATGTCAATTTTCTTCATAAGAAGAAAAAGTGTTTAGGCCTCCTCAATTTGATAGATGTGGGTCAGTTGAAAAAAGATGTATGTATTTCCTTCTTTCTTGTGATTTCTTCTGCTTTCATTGGTTTAGCTTTTGTTTCTAACATATTTCTTTGTCTTCTTTAGGCTGGGCTCTTTTGTTCCTTTGATTTGGTGAACATAGGCTTTCATTCCTTTACAGAAATGTTACTTGGAAATAGTTTACCCAAGGATAAGAAGATTGGAGACCCGCCCTGTGTAGAGCTTATTACAAATCTGCCAAGTTGCCTATGTTTGTCGTGTGTAGGTGAAGGTATGCAAAAGCCCGTCATGCATCTAACACCTTTGCCAGCTAGCTCGAAGATCTTTCTTATAAGGCCCAACCTTAATGGAACTGAGCAGTTTATCCATCGCATCAACCTTCGCATGGCCATGGATATCAAAAGCCACATTAAGAAGAGGATTTCAAAATGTCCAATGGAGGACCTTGCGTTGCTTAATGGGGACTTGTCGAAGCTTGTTTCTACGATTAACAACCTTAATGTTGATTCCTCGCTCTTGAAAGTCAAGATTGCGGAACTTATGGCCGCATCAACTGAGTATTCTTCCTTGCATGCTATTTCTTCAAAGAAGTTGAGTCCAAATGTTAGAGCTCAACAACTTGCGACAATAGACTTATCAATTGCCCAAGTTTGATATTCTCACATGGAAAGTTATCAACTCACATGGACTTCTTTAGCTTCCGTCCAGGCATGTCTAGAAATGTTGGTGCGTAAGGGAAAACAGTTGGAAATCGAAGCATCACGACTTCAAGGTGTTCTCTCGAAGCAGGAAGCTATACTTTCTCAGCATCAAGAAGGGATTTCATGCCTAGAGGAAGAGAAAGGCGCGGCCATGGAAGTGCCCACCTTGTCCCCCACCGATGTGGAGACTTTGAAGACTTTGGAAAACTTGCTTGAATACCGTCATCATAATTTTAGGGACATAGCTTTCAAGTAGTGTCTTCCAGTCTTTATACTTTTAGCCTTCTTTGTTTTTTTGCTCATTTTGCAATACAGTTTCGTAGCTAAATTCTTCCTTTAAAGAAATAAAGTATTCACATTCTTGAATTTGCTCTTTATTCTTCAAAGTATTTGTATTTTTGTTGATGATGTGACTTTACTTGAAGTTTTGAAGTCTCATGACGTAGTTCGAATAAATGAGATGGTTTTGATGGTGGTTTTGATGATGATTTTGAATTTTTTTTTTTTTTTTTTATTTTGCCATACACAATTTATGCTCTTGTGGGCCAAGAGCGTTAGGTGTCGCCCTTTAACCTCGTGCAAACAATGAGCATTGGGTGTTGCCTTTTAAGCCCGTGCGAACAAGAAGCATTGGATGTCGCCTTTTAAGCTCGTACAAACAAAGAGCATAGATGCCATGTGCTGTTTAGGCTCGTGCAGGCAAGGAGCATTGCTTGTTTGGTTTAGGGATAGTAACGCTTCAAGAATCTGCCATTGATGGGGCTGATCTTTAAGCATGATTAAGTAGGCGTCATTGGTGTACACCTCTTGTATTACGTAAGGTTCATCCCATTCTGATGTGAACTTGCTTTTTGTCTTGTGAGTTGTGATGAGTCCTTGATAATGCCAAGATAAGATCTCCATTTTGGAAAGACCTTGGGCATACCTTCTTGTTGAATGACGTGGATAGCCGTGCTTGGTAGCATTCCAAATGTTGTTGAGCTTCAAGCTTTCTTTTGTTGAGTGCTTCCAACTCTTGAAGTCGTAACTTTGCATTTTCCTCTTCAGTCAAGCCTTCTTGTATAGTCATCCTTAGTAAGAGGATTTGACTTTCGAGTGGCAAAACAGCTTCCACGCTATATACAAGAGAATAAGGCATAGCTTGGGTAGGAGTTTTATGTGTCGTCCAATATGACCAAAGTGCTTCACTTATTCTTTCATGCCAGTCTCTCTTTGTTTAGCCAATTACCTTCTTCAGGAGGTTGCATATCATTTTGTTGAATGTTTCCACGAAATCGTTGGTCGAAGTATAATACATGGAAGACTTGTGCTGCTTGAACTTATATTTCTCGTAGAGCTCGTCCATGAGTCAGTTGGAGAACTGTTTTTCGTTGTTAGTGATGATGTAACAAGGAACACCATATCGGTGATGATATACTCCTTGATGAAACAGACGACAGTTTCCTTCTTAACTTCCCTTAAGGGTACGGCTTCAACCCACTTGGAGAAGTAATCTGTTGCAGCTAGGATGTAAGATGACTTTAGTGTGATTGGTCATATGACATCCAGTCCCCATGCATCAAACGACCATGAAGCAATTGTAGGGTGTAATGGATTAGGTGTTTGATATATGAAGTTGGTGTGGAATTGGCAAGCTTGGCACCTTTTGGCATGTTCTGGGTAGTTTTTCACCATGCTCGGCTAGTACTAAGCCATTCTCTTAAGCTGGAAGTGTAGTTTTGATCCAGACTGATGCACTCCGCATACTTCTGAGTGTGCTTCTTCCATGGCTTGATTAGCTTTTTCCTCACCTAGGCATCTTAGAAGTAATCCTTTAAAAAAACATCGGTAAAGTGTTCCTTTCTAGCAGAGGAAGTGAGGTGCTCATCAACGTATTTCAGAGTGGTGTCTATGATAGTTTGAAAGCTTTCCATGCTTCAAGTAGTTGATCAACGATTGTCTCTATTGTTCAGTGTTGACTGGAAGTACTGAGATGATGTTTGTGTTATCTAGTAGCATTTCAGTAACGAGTGGGATCACCCATCTTTGGAAAATTGGCACATTTGCATCTTCGTCTTCTTCTAGTGCCATAAGGTTAGGTTAGCGAGAGTGTCCGGCATTTTATTTTCTTTTTTTAGCAAATGTTCTAACATCACAGCCTCGAACTTTTGTAGTAGTTGAGTTGCTAGCCAAAAGTATGGGACGAGATCATTTTTCCTCAGTTCATATTCAGTAAAGAGTTGATTAATTATGAGTTTGGAGTCGTTGTACACTTCTAATGTTGTGATTTCCATGTCAATCGCCATTTGGAGTCCAATGATCAGTGCTTGGTACTTAGCAACGTTGTTGGAGCATAACTCACTTAGTAAAAAGGAATAGGGTACTACTTGTCTTTGTGGCGACATGAATACTACTTCTACCCCCACTCCGTCAGTTCGTGCAAATCTGTCGAAGAACATTGTCCATGTCGAGAAGATGTCGATGTAGAACACCTCCTCGTCAGGCAAGTCGTCTGAGATTTTTCAATCGGCTGGGATTGGATGATCGACAAGGAAGTCTACTAGTGCTTATCCTTTGACGGCTTTAGATGAGACGTAGATGATCTCGTATTGATTGAAAAGCAACACTTATTTAACTAGTCGCCCTGTCAGAACAGGTTTAGACATAACGTACTTGACTAGGTCAGCTTTAGAGACCAAGTGGATGGTGTAACCATGCATGTAGTGTCTTAGCTTTTGGACGGCAAATACTAAGACAAGGCATATCTTCTCGAGCGATGAGTAGTTAAGCTCGACACCAGTGAGAGTTCTACTTAGGTAGTAAAGTGCTATTTCTTTTTGGTCTTCATTTTCTTGTGCCAAGAGTGCTTCAATGGAACCCTTTTGTGCAGCAATGTACAAGATGAGAGGCTTTGCAGGCATAGAATCTCCTAAGACAGATGAGCTTGCCAAGTACTTTTTTATGCTCTCAAAGGCATTGCGACAGGCGTCATCCCATATAAATAGAGTGTCATTCTTCATGAGTCGACTAAAAGGTTGACAGCATCCAACAAGGTTGGAGATGAAGTGTCTGATGAAGGCTAGCCGCCATTGTAGACTTTTCAGCTCATGTAAGTTCCTTGGTTCGGGCATGCTTTGGATGGCCTTGATCTTCGATTGGTCTACTTCAATGCCATAGTGCTTGACAATAAAGCCGAGAAACTTCCTAGAAGTGACGCCAAATGCACACTTTAATGGGTTCATTTTGAGGTTATAGTGTCGTAGTTTGTTGAACAAAATTCGTAAATCCTTCAAGCGATCGGATCTCTTTTTGGTCTTGGCAACTACATTTTCCACATAGCATTCTACATTTTTATGTAGCATGTTGTTGAAGATATTCTGCATTGCGTGTTGATATGTAGCTCCAGCATTCTTTAAACCAAAGGGCATTACCTTGTAGCAGTAGATACCTTTTAGAGTAGTTGGTCACGTCCACCATGATTTCGATGATTGGCAAAGGAAAGTCATCATTTTGGGCAAGCATCGTTGAGGTTGCAGAAATCTACGCATACATATATTTGTCCCGATTTCTTAAGGACAATAATGATGTTGAAGATCCATTTAGGGTATTAAACCTCTTAAATGAAGCCTGCTTCAATTAGCTTGTCAACCTCGGCCTCAATTCGTGGGATAAGCTCAGATCGATAGCGTCTTTGAGTTTGCTTTATCAGTCGCGATCCAGGGTTGACTACAAGACGATGCATGACGATGGTAGGGTTAAGGCCGGGCATTTCCTTGTAGGTCCAAGCAAAGACGTCTTTGTATTCTAATAGCAGTTGTTAAAACTCCTTGATCTTGTCTGCACTTAGTAGTGCACTTACAAAGATAAGTTTTGGCTCCTCGTTTGTGCCTAACTTAAGCTCCTTGAGATCATCAACTGTGGCTTACCCTCCATCATTGAGTTATGGTAGTGCAGCAGTGACGTCTTCCTCGGGGGTTTCGTTCTCTTTGTCTTCTTGGATCATGATATGGAAAACGTCTTGGACCTCATATTCAATGCCATCCCCTTAAGTTTGTTGGCATGAAGATTGGCTAGTGTGTACGATGATGCGTCTCTTTACCTTTAATTGTCCTTTTGTGCTGACTTCCAAGGTTGCTTGGAGCTTTATCCTTGAAGAAATCGAGCTTTGGACATCATCTTTTTTCTGTTAAACCGTCCAGCTTTTCTTCCTTCGGCATTGTCTTCCTCTTCCTAGAAGGCTTCTTGGTTTCTTCAAGTCTTTCCAAGGCCGACTGTCACAGATGAGAGCTAGCTGTGTTGCTTTGCTTATTAGGTTTTGACAACCTTTCGAAAATATAGCTTTGGGGTGTTGGTGTGTTGAGCCGTTTGAAGACAGAAGTTTGGTCTTGACTACCAATACGATCAAGTGCCGAAATTCTGGATTTTGAACGATTTGGCCTATCAAAGACTGATGTTTGAGGGGCGGGTTTAGGCTCCTCTTGATCTTGTTCAACACTCATGCTGAAGTGTTGACCGCTAAACGTTTTTTGTTTTGCTTGAAATCTTCATGGGTGTATTTGGTGTTAAGCCAAGTCCAACTTTGTTGTTGTCAACTCTGTAATCATGCTTCTTCAACTTCTTTTGAGTCTCGGTGAAGTCACATTCTTTGTCATTGATGGTGTTTGATACCGTATTTCCAAGATTTAAAGGGAAGGTGAAATCGCACCCAGCATTTGACATAAGTTTGTAGGCATTTAGGTTGAAACCTTCTTCATCACTTAGCTGGAAGAGTGCTCGGTTTCGCCCCCTTTGGCAAGGGTTTTACGAAACCTTGCAGTTATTTTAAAACTTTAGCATCGCTTAACTTTGTCAGAGGTGAAAATGTGTTTGTCTTGAGCAGCTTTACATTGTCCTTGTCTAGCAGTGTGTGGGCTTTGCTTGTTCCAGTTTCAAATGAGGATTGCCTATTCTTTCTTCTTGATATTAGGATGTATCAAAAGATGAGTGTGTTTAGTCCTTTTGAAGGAGTCATACTCCTTGTGGTTGTTGTGGGTTTGGCAAGCTGATCATCGTCTTTGTTTGAGGATGGCACGGCTTCCTCTTCTTGCTTCTTATGCACAGCTTGCCACTTTTGTTTCTTAGGTGTGGCTTTGCCTGTGGATTTAACCTCCTTTAGAAGATCTTCAGGTACCATGTCTTCATCCATGTAGAACTTGGCATCAGCGAATTGTGATTTAGCTTTGGTGAATAGCTTGGTGTTGCCTTGTATCACCTTTACTCCTTCTCAATAGAACTTTAAGCATTGATAAAGGGTGAACGACAATACTTCATTCTTGTGGATCCAAGCCTTTCCTAAAAACAAGTTGTAGAAAGTTCTTGCATCAATCACATGGAATAGAATGCATGAGTTGAGTTCACCAATGGTCATCTCCAGTCGGATCATGCCCATCACTCTTTGTCCTCCTTGGTTAAAACCTTGGATTAGGAGATGGCTTCGGGATAGTTCATCCACCTTGATACCGATTGTGGTTATTGTTGACTTTGGCATAATGTTTATGGTCGACCCACCATCCACAAGTATGCGGTTGATTTTTTTCTTTCTCACGTATGAAGAGAGGACGGTTGTGAGGCTTTGACCCTAGCAACAAGTCTTCATCAGTGAAGTTGATTGCATCATGGGCGATACAACATGTGGCATGTTCATGTGCCCGAAGCTTTAAGTCTTCGTCCTTGATTACTTGCACCTTGTGGTCGTCAGGACTCGTCAAGACCACTACTAGTGCTTTTCACATCTCCTTGGGAAATCGTAGTGCTTCCTCGATGCTAAAGTGTGTCGGTAAGCTTTCTTTGGGCATGAGGGTTTTTTCTTCCTCGATGGTGACATCTTTGCCATTCGAGTGCTTTTCTATCTCCACTTCAACCATGTGATAGGTAGCAATAATGCACTGTTGGAAGAAGTATTTTGGGAAGTACTTGTGCAAGAAGATGTGAATGCGCGGCCTTTGCTCTATAGGTTCCCCTACATACATTGGCTTAGCAGCTCTTCCACTCCTTTTGGGCTTCCTACTGTTGTGGCGACGGTTCTTTCTCCCTTGTTCCACATTTGGCCGTGTGGCTTGTGTTCTTGGCTTCCTTGTCTGTTTATAGGTCACCAGTGTCCACCGTTCTTCATCTCGGTAGGTGCATTTTGGTTGCTTGCCCCCAATGATGGTTGTGCAAAAGATGTTATGTAGCTTGACCATAGACGAGAGTAGTCAGGCGTCACTTGGAGAGGCACGAGATCGAAGGATCTAAATGCAATCGTAGTAGTATGTGTTGCGACCATGTCTTCAAGGTTAAGCTCAATCCGTCTTTATTGTGCTAGCATCATGATGAGCTCCTTGAGGACAAAACACTTACTAACAGGATGACTTACGATACGATGGTATTTGAAGTATCTAAGATCATTAACGTGATTCATCTCATCAGGGCGCTTGCATTCTGGTAACTCAATCACTTTTTTTCCAGCAAGTCATCTAGCATTACAGCCATGTTAGAGTCAGGAAAAAGGTACGTCTTCTGCTTTAGTTCCCTCAAGGTGTTTTTGTGGAGGAGATCTTGATGGGCGCGGATAAGGTCTTGATAGGGGTAGTATGGACGATAAAAGCTTCCTTGGGGAGCTTTTTCCTAGTCTTGTCTACCTTTGGGCCAAATACCTTATCCTTTTTGAAGTTGGTGATTGGTTCCTTATTCCCATGGTTAGCAATACTTAGCTCTATATCATAGGATCGAGTTGCTAACTCTTCAAATGTTCTTGGTTTTATGCCTTAGAGGATGTAATGTAACCCCTAGTGCATGTCTTGAACACACATCTCAATGGTGAAGGTTTTCATAAAGCTGATCTTTGCAATCTAGACTTCATGAATGTCATATATTGATGTAGTTGACGACAGGTTCATCCTTCCACTGTTTTGTACTCATTAGCTCCAGCATGCTTATAGTGCAGCGAGAGATGTAGAAGCGATTGAGGAATTCCCTTTTAAGCTGTTCCAGCTGTTGATAGACTCAGGCTCAAGGTCGGTGTACCAGTTGATGAGTCCATATTATACATATATTTTACCCTAATCTTAGTATTAATTTATTAGTTATTTTGGTAGAATTTTGATACTTCGTTATATATTTTCAATGTAGGACATTCAACTTCCTCTGAAGCAAAAAGTATTCAAATAGATGAATTTTGGAGTGATTCCAAGAGGATGTTCGTGTGCCTTTCAAGATGATTGTATCAAAATTCCAAATTTTTCTACCAAACTGTTTGACCGTGGCAATGAAATCAGGGCCCAGCGCGCAGCTTTCCCAGATTGACGTTTCTGGACGTTTTGAGTATTTTGAAGGTCAAGATGGCATATTATGAGGAAGATTCCCTCTGAAAATTTGTAAGGGACATCTTCAGCTTTCAAAAGAGACCTTTTGGACCAAATCGGAGTTAATTTGGTCGGTCAAAAGTGTGATTTTCTGAGAACTCCAAATTCTAGTTCAAATAGGAAACTTTTATTTTCTGTTTTATCATTTAATTAGGTTTTCTAGTTTTATTGTAAGACCTTTTACTAGGATGATTTTAATTAGAGTAGTATAAATAAGGCTTGTTAGCCATTAGGGTTCTCTATGCAACATTGGGGGGAACGTACGTGGAGAATTTAGCTAGGCTTTGACACCTTGTATTTTGAAGGTGTTTTCTATCCTTTTTCTATTTCGATAAATTCCTTTTGTTTTATGGTTGTTAGTAGCTAATTTTCGTTTGCTAGGGCGATGCCTTGAGCCTTAACTTGAATATGTAGTTTTTATTTAATTGCTTATGATATTATGCATGCATGCTTTGAATTATTAATCATTATGCTTTAAATTGTCTCTATATCTTAATGCTTAGCTACCATTAGGATGTTTAGATAAGTAATTGGATGCAATTCGGTTGAAATACCACCGGGGGATTGAGTATTGCTTCTTGTGGTTGATAGTTGTAATTTCACCTAGGATGAATACCACGTCTTAGGGGTTG